GCTCTCCAGACACTCACCTCGCAGCATCGCTCGCGCAGGGTTTCCCTCTAGCCGGGTACATCCCCCCGAGTGGTACCATGTGCTTGAGCGACGCCGTTAGCCACGCATCGCCAGAGGAGCTGTTGGAGGCAGCGCCAGGCGCCAACGCTAGCATCCTGCAAAGAGTGAAACGCACCCGCAACGGACGGTCGCGTTGCAGAAGGCCTCGAGGCCCGCATCCGGGCGGAGGTGGCGGCTGGACAGGCCGAGTGGCGCGATTTGCCATCGGATCTCTCGGGCGTGGTGTTGTCCCCTGCTGTGGACGAGGGCTGGCGCTTTCGCGATGGACAGTGGTCTCTCAAGGTCCGCGCCATCGATGACCTCACAGCTTCCGGGGTCAATGGTGCGACCACGGTCTCCGAAATCGTCGCCCACGAAACTCTCGATGATTTAGTGGCGGCGGCGCAGTGCCTCGTCGCTGGTGGAGCCAGCGCAGCGGACGTCTGCTTCCGCAAGGATGACGTCTGCGAGGCCTACAAAATTCTCCCGCTACATAGTGAGCACCTCCCGTTTGCGGCCGCTGTGACGGCGGAGTCCGTATCGCAGGATCAGTTCCTGCAGCTGTTCTGCTGTCCCTTTGGGGGGAAGGCGAGTGTCCATGCCTGGCAGCGCGTGGGCGCGGCTTTTCAAGCCATACTTTTGCGTTTGTTTAGCATCGTGTATCCACGTTTCGTGGACGATTTTTTCGGCATTGATGCAGAGCAAGTGCACGAATGGGGTGATAGCGCCGTAGGCGCCGCCTCTTTAGCTAGATTCGTCATCCAGGATTTGCTGGGCTGGCGTCCTGATTCACATGAAGCAGTTACGGCAGCTTCGAGTTTTGTTGCGCTGGGCGTTCGTGTGTCCGTGGACGCAACCACAGAGTGTTTAAACTTTGTCGTGCCCAGCGACAAGTGCGCCAAGCGGCTGGCGGAAATCGCAGAGGTGCTCCGGGACCAGCGTTTAACGCCAGCGCGCGCGCAGAAGCTGGCCGGCCGGCTCAGCTGGGGGGCCACAGCAGTCTTCGGGAAGGGCGCGCGCGTCTATCTGGCGCCGCTCTTCCGGCATTCAGCCGGGAGAAGCGCTCGCATCTCCAAGCGTTTGCGCTTTGCGCTCCTGTGGTGGCAGCGGTTCCTCAATTCGCAGCCAAGCAGGGCCGTCCCGCTGTCGCCATCGGTGAAGCCACGTTTGGTGGTGTACACTGACGCCTCGGGAGCAGGCGTGCTGGCTTGGGTGGCAGTGCTGGCCGGGCGTAAGTTTTTCGCTTCAGCGCCAGTGCCGGGCTGGCTTGCGAGGTGGGCCTGCCCGCGTCAGCAGCAAATCCACACCTGGGAGCTAGTAGCTGCAGTGTGTGCACTCTGGCAGTTTTTCAGTCTGCCCGAAGGCGTAGCGGGGCTCGACGTTGTGATTTTTATCGACTCGACAGTCGCACTCGGGACGCTGCTCCGCGGGTGCTCCCGCCAGCGTGACTGGAATGCTATGGTGGCTGGCGTGTGGTTTGCTGCAGCAGACCGCGGCCACTTTTTAAGTGCATTCCGCGTGCCTTCACATTTAAATTTGGCAGACTGGCAGAAGGCATCGGAGTTGGCACAGCTGGTCTCTCGCGGCTTCGCTCGCCTCGAGTGGGCTTGGCCGGCAGTGGATTTCTGGCAGCAGAGGCGGTGACGGGCATGCATTCGCGAGGAAGGAAAAAAGTGCGCAGTTGTTGCTTCGTCAGCGTTTCTTGCCGCGTGCGGCGGCGCACGGCCTCCCACGCAGTCATCCGTAGTCAGCTTGGCCCAACATGGCACTTGAGTTCATCAACCGCAAACGCGCGCGGTGGGCTTTGGGCGATGGCGCTTCGGACCCTGGGCCGCCAGAAGAAGCGTGCTCCCAGGATGTGGTGCCGCCTGCTCTTGCACAGTGGTTCACGGGGGTGCTTCGCCGCACGCCGCCGCGTTACCACCCGGCATCGCCTGACAATGTGTTGCGCGCTCTCGCCAGTGGCGGGGCCGTGGCTGGAGATGATTTCAACGACATGAGTGTGCAGGAACTTCGGGACGTCTGGCCGTGCCTCCGAGAGCTGGCCAGTGAATTCTTGGCCATTTTCCCTTCCGGGAGGCGCTCTCCTGTGGCGCCGCCGGCAGGGCCCCCCAGGGCAGCGGCGGCCCGAGCGGTGAGGTCGCATCGCCTTTGGTGGAAAGCGCCGCGCCCGCAGGGCCAGAAGGGGGCGAAGCTGAAGCTGCCCTTGCTGCTCTTGGCTTCCTGGCCGCAGCTCGCTTTCGGAGGACTTTCCTGGAACCCAAGGACTTGGCCGACGCAGTGCAAACGCTGGGCCGCATTACGCCTGAAGAGCTCCAAGTGGCGTGGGCTCGGCGTCACGGGGCGCAGGGGGCAACCCGAGAGAGCGTGCTTTGCAACTGGTGGGCAATCTGTCTGAGTTCGCAGCGACGCAGGAGCTTTTGAGACGGGAGCTCTGCGGGTGGCATCGGAGTGCTTACAAGTATGCGTCCGCAGTGCGGCTTTGGGGCCAGGTAGCCAAAGGCGTCGGAGCGCCGCCGTGGCCGCCGACAGACAGCGTGCTGGGGGCCTTTGCTTTCGCAGTGCAGAACGGCAACACGCTGATGACGTACTGCACCCAGGTCCGGGCGGCCCTGCGGTTGGTCCGGGTCCCTCTGGGGTGTTTGGAAGACACCTCAGGTCTGGCGCGGGGGGCCGCCAAAACGGTGCCCGGCACGAGCCGCTTTCGAGCGCGGGCCAGTGCGCACGACGCCCGCAGCGTTGCTGGCCGCGTGCGGGAGGTGCTCCGGGACCCTCTGGTGGCGGATTCCTTCGTGGTCGCCAGACACTTCTGTCTCCGTTTCGCGTCGGAGGTGGTGCCTCTGGAGCACGATGGGCCGCGCTCCAGGGTCGTGCTCGAGGTCGACGGGGGCTTGCCCAAGGCGTGCATCTACTTGCACAAGCGCAAGATGCACACAGAGACAGTGGTGGTGACGAGGCGGTGCATCTGCGTTCTCTAGTCGCGGCAGCTGTGCGGGGTGTGCGTCCTGCAGCGCCGGGCTGGGCGGGGGCGCCTCTTCCCTGGCCTGTCCTACAGGGCGGCTCTGGCCACGCTGAAAGCAGCGGCGCTGGCGCTCGGCTTGGAGCGCGCGGCCGAGTGGGGCACGCATGCCTTCCGCAGAGGCTGGGCGGACGAGTGTTTAGCGGCGGGCGGCGTGCTGGCGCTCTTCCACAGTGGAGGCTGGCGTGGCGTCGCGGCGTTCGGCTACGCCTCTGCCGCCTCCAGAGACGCCATGACTGCTGCGGAGTGGCCAGTGGAGTTTTCGGACTCGTCTGCGTCCGACGGCGCGCCGTGAGCGGTGGAGACTGTGAACAAATTATTGTTGGGTCTGTGCCATCATCAGTGCTGCTGTGCTCTCGTCGTCAGCAGTGGGGTTGGGGTCCGGGTCGCCGAGAGCCCCAGCATTGGGTCTCGAGGGCTCCTTGGGGTCTCTCGTCCCCTGCCCGGCTGCACGCTGTGTGTCGCCCAACGGTCCGTGCGAGCGCACAGGGCCATCCCAGAGGAGAGCGGCCGCGCGAGAACCTTCATCATCCCTATGCTTTGGTTCTGGGGAGGAAGATTCTCACAGGCCGCTTCTGTCCCCATTCGGGGATTTGGTGATTCGGTTGCCTTTCGGCGTCTCCGTTCCCCTTGCCGCCCGGGCCCGAGGCGGGGTAGCAAATATCGGCCAGTGCTCCCGTGGGAGCCGCGTACGCTGCAGGCCAAAAGCTGTGCAGTGTGGCCTGGGCGCGCGCGGCCTCGTCGGGGCGACGCTCTGGCGGGCCGGCGCGCTCTCCTGCGGGCCGCGGGCGCTGGTCGCCTGGGGCGTCGCTTTCGCCGGCGCGGCCGGCTTTCCCGCCCGCCCTCCCTGGGGTGTCTTGTGTGCTAGCCGGGCTGGGTCTCGAGGGCTCCTTGGGGTCTCTCGTGCTCCCCTGCCCGGCTGCGCGCTGTGTGTCGCCCAACGGTCCGTGCGAGCGCACAGGGCCATCCCAGAGGAGAGCGGCCGCACGAGAATCTTCTTGCCCCTGCGTGCTAAGATTGCGGATCTGGGCGCGCGGGCGCTGGCAAGCGTCAAATTGGGCTCAGAAGGTCATTCCGGGCGCGCTGTCGCTTTGGAGCACGGAACCGTGCTTGGATTGCAAATCTGGGCGCGCGGGCGACAGCGGACCGGTGCAATGCCGCAGAGTAGCAGGGCAGACGAGAAGCTGCCCGAAACTCCGTTCAACACCGCAGGAGGAGGGGGCAGATGAGAAGCTGCCCCGAAAGTTCGTCCAAACGACCTCCGACGCGCAAGGGGGCGGCAGATGAGAGGCTGCCCCGAAGCTCCGCCCAAGCGGACCTTGGCCCGCAGAGTAGCGGGGCAGATGTGGAACTGCCCCGCAGTTCCGCCCATGCGGAGCTGCAGGTCAGCGCGAAATGCGCTCAATCAATTGCGTTCTTATGCAGGCCAGTGGCAGCGCACGAGATTGCAATCTCGGGCGCCCTAGCGCCAGGTAGTAGCGGGGGATGTGCGCAAGCCCTCTCGCAAGTCGTCCTCTCGGACATCGTAGCCCAAACTGGGCGCTCCGTCATTCCATCATTCAGTGCCTCTCCCTCCTCCTCTGGCAGCAGCGGCGGGGGCAGCGCTGGCGCGACAGTGGCTGCGCTGGCGCGACGGTGGGGAAGCAGTCTAAGTGCTTCCAGCGTGCAGTGGCGAGAGCGAGGCATCCGGCGCAACGGCTGCAGGGATGGCTCCTTTGGAGAAGTTCGAATCCGTGTGTGTGGCGTGCCAAAGTTGGGTCCTTTGCCAGTCTCCTGCTTCGTCTTCTGTGTGGGTCTTCGCAGGCTGCCGCAGGTCCCTCGCTCAATCCGTGCTGCTGCTGCTCAGGCTCAGATTTACAGGCTGTGTTTCGACAAACCTCCAACAGCTCAGTTTCGGCACTCTGCGTGTCTTAACTTTCAACTTCGCTCGCCGGTGCACACGATGGCATCGTGCACCTCCAGTGAGATCCATGCTGACCTCGAGGGCCTGCCCAGCTCTGCGTTCAACGGGGCTGACGAGGCATCGCGCCAGCAGTGGATGGACACAGTGCTGGCTGCCGAGGTCAATCCGCGCAGCAAGCACGACGTTCGGTTCTTCACTGGGGTGGCCCGTCTCCTGGCGGACACCGTGCACAGCGCGCAGCCCGAAGACTTCGCCGACGAGTATGTGCGCGAAGTCATCAAAACAGGTTTCAGACCTGGAGATTTGCCTTTCGCTTCGGAGGGCAATCCAGAGAGCTGGAAGGCGTTCCAGGTCACTCCAGCGATGGTCGTTTGTGCTCTGCGCGTGCAGGCGGCGTGCGCTGGAAGCACTGCGCAGACGCGCCGCGCTGGTGGGGGCTCTGGCGCTGGTGACTCCGACGATGGCTTCAAGGAGGCGGTCAAAGAGTTTGTGAAGGCACAAACCGAACAGGCCACAAAACATGTCCAAAAGGGCCTCAGCTTCACTCTCGCTGAGCGCACGACCGAGGTCGGGCTGGGCCTGTTCGCCAAGCAGGGCTTACCCAGCGAAGAGCTCTTGGCAAAGTGGGAGACGGCAGGGAAGGCTGCGGCAGACCGGGGCCGGCTGTACATCGGTATCTTCGATGGCGACGATTACCAGGCGGTGCACCGGCCGTTCTGGAGCCGGTCTCCCAAGATCGACGCCGTTGCAGGGCATGGCTCCTTGGAGGACAAACTCAAGGAGACTCTCGAGATGAAGAAAAGCCGCTCCGTCGATGAGAAGATGCAGTGCCCGAGCTTTACCAGATGAGAAGCTGGGCCACGTGCTCGCGTGGGGTCTAAAACTGGTCCTGATGAAGACGTGCTCGCAGACGCACTTGCTCTCCTTCGTGTATCTGCTGACAAGGGTCGCGGAAGAGCACGGCGGCGCCTTCACGGCCTACCACTACGACCTCTTGGCCAGGAAAGCCATGGCCCAGAAACTCGAGCATGAGGAGGGGGATGTGCTGCATTTCTTCTTCAAGCTGGACCGAGACCTTCTCAACGAAGCCAAGGGAAAGGCAGTGGCCGCGGCCAGCGAAGCAGCCAAGTTCACCAACTCGAAGGGTGGAGGCTTTGCGGCCTCGAATTCCAAGGGCGGTGGCAAAGGCGGCGGCAAGACCGCAGTCAAGGGCGAGAGCGATCAGCCCAGAGCGCCCACTACGCCCAGGCTGGCAAGGTCGAGGAGCCGTCCGCGGAGGACCGCAACAAGAAGTCCGGGTGGGGCAAGGGCGGCTGGTACGGCAAGTCATGGACCAACCGTTGAAGCCAGGCATCTGATGCTGGTTCTGAGGACGGGACCAGCAGTACCTGTTCAAGCGCGCCCGTGCAAAGTGACAGCCAGCGGCGGCTGCTTGGCGGTTTTGCCGCTTTGAGCGCTGCTGTGAGCGATCTACTCGCCAATCCAGTTTTGCTCGATTCCATGGATCCATGGGATCACCTCGATTGGTTTCTTTCCTTTCCTTCCGGCGAAGGGCCCGTCGCAGCGCCAGCAATAATGGTTGAGGCACTGCGTGGGGCGGAATCGTTGAGCGATTCCGAGCTCCAAGCGCATCGTGCTGAGAGGATTCGGTATTGGACCGAACGCAAACGTGTTCTGGATTCCTCTTGGAGAGAGGATTTTTGTATTCTGCCTCCTCACTGTCAGCGCGTGCTTGGGCCAAGCAAGAATCTGCATCTCTTGGCAGAAATGGTGCACTCTGTGGGCTGGGGCGACAGTCGGCTCGTTCACGACTTAGATTTCGGCTTCCCGCTGCTAGGAGCCCTGACCAGAGCTGGCATTTTGCCAGCCGTTCCCTTTGCTGCCACGTCTCGCAGTGCAGAATCGTTGCTGGCGCACTGTTCGCAATATAATGCGGCAACGCTGGAAAGGGCGAGCCGCCCAGTGCATGTCCAGCAAGAGGTGAGCGAGGCATTCGAAACGAAATGTCTCCAGGAAGTTGCAAAGAGCAAGGCGTGGTGGACTAGGCTACAGCCGGATGAGTCAATCATCTCGGCGCGCTTTCCTGCCCTGGAGGGGTGGACAGATGGCGGCTCGGGAGTTTTAGTTCCAAAAGTGCGGTTGATCGATGATTTCTCGGCTTCGCTGGTGAATTCAGCGACGTCCGTAGGCGAACCGATGCCTGTGGACACGCTGGACACTCTTGTTCAGATTGGCCGCGCGCTCGCCGGAGACAGCCCGGATGAGTGCGAGCTTCTGTTCGGGAAAGAAGATTTTAAAGGAGCATTTAAATCGCTTCCCCTCCGAGCCGACCACTTGCCATTTGCTGTCGTTACGTGGCAGAGCGCTGCCGCGCAAGGCAAAGGATTGCAATTGATTTGCTGTCCTTTCGGTTCGAGCGCATCGGTCTACAGCTGGCACCGGCTGGGCTTTATCTTCCAGGCGCTGTTGGCACGAGAGCTCTTGGTTCCCTATCCGCGGTTTGTGGATGATTTATTTTCCGCGGATCGTGTGCGCACAGGCCGCGACGCGCATGCCGAGGCGGAAAATGCAGCCAAGAGTGCGCAGGGGTTACTTGAATTAACTGGCTGGGAGCTTGAACCAGCGAAGCGTGTGCGGTGCGCCACTGAAGCCACCGTGCTTGGTGTAGAAGTTGTCTCGCGCCCAAGCGAATTAATGTTTGAAATCGGAGCTGCTAAACGAGAAAAGTGGCTAAACGCAATTCGCGCCGCGCTCCGGAGCGATTGCTTACGCCCTTCAGAGGCCAAGCGTTTGGCAGGCCGGCTCAATTGGGCAGGTAGCGCAGTGTTTGGCAGAGGCTCTCGCGCGTATCTTGCCGCGCTCCACTGGCAGGCCAATCGCCGCGCTGCGTCTTTGACAGCGCGGGTCCGGGCAGCGCTTTGTTGGTGGGAGCGCTTCTTGCAGGAGATGCTGCAAAGACGGATTTCCTTGGCCTCGCACACAACACAGCGTTGCATTGTATATACAGACGCCGCCGGGGATGGAGCAATGGCATTTGCCGTTGTGCATCCGCAATTCCGTCTCTGGAGCGCGACCTGGGTGCCGCAGAATGCCTGGGCGTGGGCGCACCCACGGCGCACGCAAATAGTACTTTGGGAATTGGTGGCGGCTGTGTGCGCGGTGAGAATTTTGCTTGAGCGTGGTCTCGAAGATTGTGAAGTCGTTCTTTTTGTAGATTGCAATCCTGCGCTGCACGCGCTCGTGCGTGGTGCAAGCAGGCAGAGCGACTTGAATGCGATCATTGCGGAATTTTGGTTCTTGGTCGCGAGATCTGGCGTTACTTTGAATGCATTTCGCGTTCCCAGCAAATTGAATGTTGCAGACGGTTCAACAAGGTGGGACACCTGGGACGCCAGTGTGGCTGACTTTCAAGAACGGGGCTTTCGCCAGATTCAGTGGGCGTGGCCTGCTGCACTGCCTTGGTCAGAGCGGGCGGACTGTGAAACAAAATGTTGCTCTGCGCAGGCAAAGCGTTTTCTTCTGTTGCCAGCAGGTCAGCATGTTGTACCTTGGTGAGTGCACGATGCACCATAGCGGTTTGGCTCGAATGTTAAAGTTCATCAACCAAAGCCGGGCCCGTGCGACGGATGCCGGTGGTGCCTCGCCAGCGGTGCGCTCTCTTCCAGGCTCTGGTTTAGCCGCCGAAGCCGCAGCGACAGAAGTGGCACAGCTTCTTCAGCGAGCAGGAGGAATTGCCCACGTGGAATTGCCCGTCGCTAAGATCGCAGAAAACTTGAGGTTGGAGGGCGGTTTATTTTCTTCAGATTTTGTTGGCATCACAGCAGTGGAGGCACAGGAGCTCTGGGCCTCGCTGGCGTCCGTGCCGTCCAACTTCTTGACGATCTTCTTGGGATTATGTCAACGCCATCACGTGGAGGGCGCTGCTCATGCCAGTTCCTTGGGTGCAAGTTCCAGCGTAGAAGCGCCCATTGAGGAGTTGCGAGGCACCCCGGCTCCACAGGCGGCGCCGGCATCTCTGTCAACGGCTATGCCGCGACCTGGCGCGGCAGCAGCGCGGGCCGCTTTGAAGCTGTGTACTGTTGCGCGGAGTACAGGGCAGCTCCCAGAACCGGCTGTGCTGGCAGATTCAATTTTGTCTTTGGCGAAGGCAGAAGCGGATATGTTCGCCTCGCCCTGCCTTCCACCTCGGGGAGAAGTATCTCGCAGAGATGCTGAACGCAGCGACGTCCTTCCCATGGCAGAACAAGCAGTGTGGCTGGAGTTTTGTGGTTGGAGAACCAGTGCCCGTGGCTACTCTTCCGCCGTGAGGCTATGCGGCAGCGTAGCGCTCCTGTGCGCATGCGCCGCGTGGCCGCCGACTCAATTCATCATCGATGTCTATGTGTGGCTTTTCAGAAGTGCAGCCACGCTGGCACGTTACTTGTCCCATCTTCGGACAGTGCTTCTCTGGTTGCGGGCTCCTTTGGGGCCGCTGGCGGACACATCCCGCGTAGTCCGAGGAGCAGAGAAGGCCGGCAGATCGCTCAGGCGCCCTCGTGTTCGGGCGACAGCTTCTGAAACAAAAGCTTTGGCGAGATGGTGCTCGACGTTCGGCTTCGCGGACGTCGGGGCGTCCTGGGTCGTGGCTAGACAATTTTGCTTACGGTATGGTGAGGTATTACAAATTGGCTCGTCTACAGCTCCGGTCTGCATTGATGCCGCTGAAGGGGCGCGCAAGACAGTGACTATTACGTACATGCACAGAAAATGCTACGCTGAGCCTGTGCAAGTTGTGAGAAAATGCATCTGTAGCTTACAAGGCAAGGCTCTTTGCGGGGTTTGCGTTCTATGCTCCCGCCAGGCAGACGCAGATGCCCGATTGTTCTCGGAAGTCAGCTACTCTGAAAATTTAGCGACCTTGAAAGTAGCGGCCCAAGCGTGCGGCTTCGAGAATGCATCGGCCTGGGGAACGCACGCGTTCCGACGTGGATGGGCCACAGAATGCCTACAGGCAAATGGTCCTACTGCTCTCTTTTACTCAGGCGGGTGGCGCGGGCTGTCTGCCTTCGCTGACGCCTCTGCGAGGGCTCGCGGCGGAATAGCTGCTGCGGAGTTCCTTATCGAGCACTCAGAGTCATCGGGCGCTGCCGAGTAAAATGCTCCTGCTTGCAGGTGGGGGAGCGAGAACCATCAGTTGCATTTCGCTTCGCGCAGCTGTCCGGTCCACCTGGGTGCAGAGGGGTGCCGCGGAGGTCTCCCAGAGTTGCCCCTGCCAGCTGCGCGATAGCTGGTTGCCCACAGAACGTGTGGAAACGCAATGGCACGGAGAGCGACGACAAATTTTAGTCGCCCCTAAATCGCGTAGCGATTTGGGGGGCAGTGAAATTTGAGGAGCCTTTGTGCTCTACGCCTCCTGGCCTCTTTGCCTCAGTGCTTCATGGCCTCGCCCTCGCCAACGGTGGGCGCTCCCTGGTGGGAGCAGTGGATTCGTGTGTTGGGGTCGTGACGGGGAAGTTTCGCTTTTCGCACGCCTTGCCCTTCTCGGGGGCGGTGGTCCGTCGGTCTGTCTGTGGTCTGTCTCCGTCCGTCGGTCTGTCTGTCTGTCTGTCTGGTTCTGCCCGGAAGGGCAAAAGTGTGATGCGCCCGTGGCGTGGCAGGCCCGGAAGGGCACTCGTGTGTCTCCCGCGAGCGTCGCTGGCCTCGCTCGGCGGTCTGGTCTGGCGCCCGCGGGGTGTTCGCTATGCGGCAGGATTTTTTTTCCCGCCCGCCCTCCCCGTGCTCTTGCGTTTCGCTGGCGGGGGTGCCGCGGAGGTCTCCCAGAGTTGCCCCTGCCAGCTGCACGATAGCTGGTTGCCCACAGAACGTGTGGAAACGCAATGGCACGGAGAGCGACGACAAATTTTATGCCATTAACTCGGGTTGTAGGGGGGCTACAGGGCTCGTACTCACAGAAATCGAGTCAGAGACATCAGGCGCGTCCGCCTGCCGAATCGAGAGCTCAGAACTCGGTGTGCTACCCGAGCTAGGTTCGCAAAACTATGCGTATTCGTCGAGTCATCTTGAGAGGTGCTATCCGTTTTTCTGCAGTTCACTCGAGCTGTAAGGGGGTTGCAGGGCTGGTAATCACTGGAATTGGTACTAGCCAGCACCCACCCGCAGCTGGGCATCGCGCCGTGTCCCCCGGCGCCGCAGAGGTCGAGGCTTCCGTGCGGGACCTCCCGCAGGGCGCCCTGTGCGGCGCGGAGGTTGATG